ATTTTATTATATGTATAATATATATATATATATATATATATATATATATATATAATATATAATTATATAGATATGCGTTTCTATGCGTTTTTTTTTTTTTTATACGTTTCTCGTTCATCTCGTAGTAAAAATATTTTTTGGGTTTCATCTTTGGGCGATCATCGTTATCTCTATGCAAAGGTAGTTAAAAAAATAATTCGATCCTTGCTCGAAAGTGACAACGTGAAAAGTCGGAGAAATCCTGCGTTTGAACGCGCGTTCCTTCGGGCAATATCAGAAATTGCGGCATTCCGACGTGTCTAGACGTCTGTCCTCCTTTTATCTCATTTATCGATTTCTCGATAAATCAACGCCCGACGTTTTAAACGGATTTCAAGATTTCTCGCGCGACGATATCTCGCAATTTATACAAAAATAAATCGTAGTCCGATAGCTATTTAAAGTAAGCCGGAAGACTTCGATTCTTCCCCAGTTCGCGCAGCTTCGATTCAACGATTCGAGAATGTTTTCTTCTTTTTCTTTTTTTTTCTTTTCTTTTTTTTTTTTTTTTTTTTTCAAAATAAACACCATTCGAGGCTAAATTTCGATAAAAATACATCCTCTTCGTAAAATATCGTTATACGGATACGAGAAAAGATTACAAAAGCTAGAGCCGTGAACAGCTTGATAACGCTAATTAAATATTTCGCTCGATATTATTGAGAGTCGAATAAAAATTTATCGATAGATATATATATATATATATCGGTACGTCGTATTATTATATTTTTTTTAATTCGATATTTTTCCACTTTAGCTCTCTTTGGCTATTTTGCTTCAGAGACGGGTCCTCTTGTTCCACCACTTCGTACGATACGATCTTCGCCAGGAGGAGAGAAAAATTTTCTCTCGAGAATTCATGCTTCATTCGAACTTTCGCCGACACTTTCGTGGGAAGCAATCGTTTCTTTAAATATCTCGTTTCGACAACCTCAATTACATTCTCCCGTTCTTTTACAATTCACATCGAACAAATTGTTTCGTCGCGTTCGGCTCGAGCACGCTGAAATTCACATGAGTTTCGAAACACGCATCCTTAAAGAGAGAAACAGCCTAACGGTTAAATATAATAAGAAACAAAAATTGGTATCCGATTGTTGGAAAAGCAACACGTTATCCCGAACACGTATCGAAACGCGGAAAATGGTGAAAAAAAAAAAAAAAAAATTGAAATCGATTCGTTGTTGCGCCGGATTAACGCAGACCCAGTTTGTTACCAGTTCTCAACGAAAATAATTGGTTGCAACAAAAGTAGATACGATCTTTTTGAAACTTGGTGTTTTCGGAACGCGACGAGAAGGAGATCAACGATTCACTTGACTTGGTGACGAGGCGGTGGTCCGGCAGGTGGTAACGTGAGAGAGTCCCTTTTCTTCCTGTTGACGCGACGTCCGACGTGCAGAACCACGTCCCCAGCTTTCACGGACTTGAACTCGGCGATCGCCTCGGCGTGCGTCATACCGTGAAGAGGTTTCGAATTTATCGACAAAATTTCGTCCCCTGAAAATAAAATATTTCAAATCAACGATGTGATATTAAAAAAAAAAGCGTCGGAAAAAAGAAGATGAGGATAAGAGGAAGATGGAAGATGTTCTTTTTTTTTTTTTTTAAGACGACGTCGCACCTTCCTTGACGGTTCCAAGATCCGCGGCCTGCCCATTCGGGAAGACCGTTTTCACGTAAATGCCCATGTTCCCTCGAGGACTGTCCGTACCGCCGACGATACTGAAACCGAGTCCTTTGTGTCCAGGACCCTTTAGAAATCTGGCCGTCAGTATCGTGAATGACGCGCCACCCTTGCCTGGCCTCGGTAGGGTGCAGAATCTCGACTCTTCACCCTCGCCAGCTTCGTCGATGTCTTCGAGTTCGGAGTCGGTATTCAGGCCTTCGTCCGTGTCTTGTGTACCCTTGAAAAAACGGAGAAAAGAAGAAGAGAAAAAGATAAAAATAAGAGGAATGGAGTAGAAAAAGAGATGGATTTCGATTTCCACTCACTTGCCAAGTCTTCAAACTGGAACCGGAGGAACTAGGGATATTGGCAACGCTTCTGCTGTTCATTCGTCTAGTCGTCTTCTTGCCAGGGCTCCTTTCAGCCCCCAAACTAGACGGGCCATCGTCTTTGTTCACGCCGGATCCAGGGGATCCAGGCCCATTAGAATAATTATTCACTTGTCCACCGACTTTGAAGTCGGTCATCCTCTTTCTGGGTGTCACCCTCGGTATGTGAATCTCCTCGAACGAGGCGTCCGTTTGGCTTCTGGGCTTCGCGTTCTTCTGGAAATGGACGTTCTCGTACGAGTGATGGTCCCTCGTTTCCGAGTTGCTTCTCGCCAAGTGTCTGTCGGGGTTGGGTGTGGTCGAGGGCGTCAACTCCGACCTGTGACCCCGTTGAAAACGCACGTTCTCGTACGAGTGCTCCTGGTGTCTGCACGAACCGTCGCGATTCTCGGAGTTGCTTCGTTGCAACACGGCTCTGGATCTGGAGCAACATCCGGGGGACGAATTCGCGTACAACACGTTCTCGTACGCGTCCTTCTGGCTTTGATCGTGGCAAAGAATCGGCGAGTCGTACGCGCCACCGCTTTGAGAATACGTGAACGTTTTGCTAGTTGCGTTGGTCAACGGGCTGCTACAATTGGGAGAATTCGGCACGCTTCCCTCCGCCAGCGTCTCGAGATTGTCGTGGAAAGGGTAGGGTGGTAGAGATGTCGGCTCGCTCGAATCGTAGCCATCCCCCTCGAAGTTCTGACTGCTCGAGGAGGTGAGGGGGCTTGGAACGTAGAAATTGGACGCGTTGTCCTTTTGCGAGAACACCTCTGTGACGCTCAGCGCTTTCCTCTTCCGAATACCGGCGTTTATCTTGCTGAACTTGCTCCGCAGAACGTGCTGGATGTCGGCTATACCCTTGGTGGTACCTAACCAATCGCAATCGTTCGTTCGATCATCGATTCGATTCGATTTCGCCTCCCCTCGAATTATTATCGAGATTTTATGGATGCGAACGGATTAGAAAAAAAAAAAAAAGAAAAAGATAAAAGGTAAATGATACCTGGTAATCTGAGGGAACTAGTTTGCAACAATTTCTTGGGCGAACTGCCGTCCTGAAGGCTCTTTGCGGCAGGCGAAGACTCCCTGCTAGCCGGGCTGGATCTTACGGGTTGAATAACCCCCTGGGTCGTTCCACCTTGTATCAGAGCCTCCTGTGGTTCCGAGGTCTCCTGGACGGAGCATCGCCTCCTCAGTTTCCTCCATCGTTGACTGATGCTCTTGTTCCATAAATTCAGGTCTGTGGAATGGAAGAATGAGAAAAAAATTCCGCATGACTACCGGTCGCAGGATGCGCCGCTATCTCGTGACGGGCGGCGACCGCATCGAGGAGCTCGTTAAGGAAACAGGATGGTCCAAAATTGGCCTCGAAGAGAAAGAGAGGAAAGATGCCGTTCCTTGATTATCGGGCTTAACGACAGGAAGCGAGCGAGATAGTACGATGATATTGTTACTTATCGAAGATAAAATTGGATCTCGATAAGGAGGAGGAGGATCGGATAGTAGATGGAAGAAAATTAGATATTAGATAATAGTAACGATTCGTTAATAATAATAATAATTCGAAATCCGGATAACAAGACGGCGATAATTTTCGACGCGTTCTTTTTTTTTTTTTCTTTTGCAAAAGTTCAAAACGACGACGAGGCAACGTACATACATACACGTTTTTCATAGAACTAGCAACTTATTCAATTACAATTCAATATAGTCTCCATGTTGTCGGATCCACGTGACCACAAAGGACGATCGACGTTTGAATCCTGTCCCTTTCACCGATTCCACGAAGGGTCATGCCCCCTCTCGACTTCCTCTTCCTTCGTTCGCGGGCTAGCAGTAGTTTCGCCTTCGACCTTGGGCGAAGAAGGCACGCGCATAACAAAACTCGTCGTTTTCCTCACCGGCGGAAGAAAGTTTCAACGTCATGAATAATTAATCGATGATGAATGACAGGCATGATCACTAAGGTCACTGAGCTTCACACGTAACACTGATCTCTCGACCAATCACAGGTATGCGTGTTCGTTGCCTGTTCGTTTCGGGGCTGGCCATGGCGTAACAGGCGACTGGTGTCACGAGGAGAACGCCGAGAACAACCGCGATGACGACGACCACGATGACCGGGACGGGAACGAAGAACGAAGAACGTGCACGCCGTTGTCCTCGGCGATCGTTGCTGACACACTGGGGCGTCGGTGGCGGCTGCACTCGCCATTATCCGGAGTTACAGTCATCTTACAAAATGCACTTTCACTTGTCGACGTATCTGCGGATGCGCCCGGTTTCGCGAGGCCTTTTTCGTTCCGCATCGAACGCCGGACGTTGCGCTTTGTTCTCCATAGATCGCAAACTTATTTCAACCCTTTCATTCGCGAAAAGAAAAAAAAATCCACGAACGAACGATATCTGTTATACACTGCGTTTCGATTTCGCGTTCACATCGCGATATTCGTGCGGGATACACGCGTCCGATGACGCGCAATTAGAGACGATCAAGCGCGTTGATCGATGAAGATTCCCTCGATGTTTCATATTAATTACTGATTTATTCTGCCCGTTTTATCGCAACGAAGCGAGCAACGTATGATTTATGGAATACGAGTCTCTCTCTCTCTCTCTCTCTCTCTACATTTTCCTCCCATAACGAGAATCGACGTTCATTACCGGATTCGTTGTTGCGAAATGATATCCACTATCGGATGGACGCGTGATCGATTATTTTAACGCTTCTGTCTGCGGCGTTAATTAAAATTTGCCAGCATTGGTGAGCTTCATGCAAATTAGTATCGATTGCATCGAAAACTGGGATACCACCTTGAGCAGGTCAACCGAAAATGCATCAAGGACGAATATTTCACGATCGTCGAACGATGATCCCCCACAGATCCATCATTCACAAAAATAAATCCATCGAGCAAGTTTTTCACCGTGTCGCGCATCTCATGCACGTCCCTCCCTGTATTACGTTTCACCGCTGTTTCACAGCTGTACACAGTTCACAGCATAAACTTCGACAGCTTGTAATCCTCCGGATGTACGAGCATTTGCAACTCTAATCGAAGCAGCTCGGCGTAGAAATAAAAGAATCCAAGGATGTACGCCAACATGCTATCAAGATGTCGGTATCGAAGATGCGACGGTGCGATACGAATTGCAGAGGATTCGAGGCGGAAACGCGAAAACTCGAGCGCGACCGATGCCTCGAGCGGCGACGCTTCTACCAGGATTTCGAAAACCACAGGAGTCCACACTGTACGCGGTCTCGACATGAACTGAAAGACTCGAGGTTTACGGTTACTCTGTGTGCGTAAAGCATTACGTGCGTGTGCGTAACAGACTGTACACACGTGTGCAGCTTGGTACCTGTGCATACAAGGTGACGCGGAAGAAAGTATCGAACTCGTTCCTTTCGTGATACGAATTCCTCGCATAACTTCGGGATGACCCGCGAGCAATTCTTTTTTTTTTTCTCCCCCCTTATCGACGACAAAAGTGCGCGCGTTTGCAAGCGGAGAGTTCGCGCGTGAAATCGAAGAAAAATTACGGAAGAGCACCGTTCAAAGAAAGAAAGAAAGAAAGAACCCTCGGCTCGGTTAAAATAATTTTTTCAACCTAACGTGAAAAGCTTTCGTAGCGTACAGGACAAGTAACAAAGTGAACGCGCAACGACCGAGACCCGCCGGTTATTCCATCTTATTTCATATTTCACGCATTTCGCTTCGTTCCACTTTAATCCCGCTCGTTCCTCCGCTCGCCCGATCCATTTAATTAAAGCTTCAAGATCATTCTTTTTTTTCGTTCACCGTGTATGCCACTCATTCCGTAGTCCAATTGTGTACCGATTGTGGGAACCTTTTGCCGAGTGTTAGTGAACGCTCCTCTCGTCGCAGAGCACGCTTGCACGCGCGAGAGTGTGCGTATACACACACCTATTAATGCGCATCACGGATGCGTGCACACCCTACATTCGAACTCGTGCGCGCCTCATGGTCAGGGTGGCTTGCATTATTTCCTACAATAACGCGTGTTCTTCGCACGAGGGTTTGCACGAAGGTGGACACTCGCGCGAGACCGAGAAACGACTGCGTGTGCATCCACCACTGTGCGGTGGTTCGATAATCCGCAACATCTACCGATTTCGTTCTGACGCGAGCGAAATTGTTCTTTTCTAACGGTTTCCTTCGAGGAAAACTTCGCCGATTTCGCGCGATCGCTGCGTTGAGGCGATACAGCAGCGATCGGTGAACGCTCGACTTTCAAGGCTTCCTCGACTCGCAGGTTTGCAAGGACAGGAAATTACGTTAAAACGACGATGAACGGTATGGTATCCATTATATATTGACCTACATACCATACGGTTACCTTTCCACCCACGAAATGGATAAGATACGCGATAAACGCGTGAAAAATGACGTGTGTATGGAACGAAGTTGATTCCAATTAATGAGTAATACTCGTGTCCCTTTTTTTTTTAAGAAATTAAAGTGAAAGAATTTAATAATTATTGTTTTCTTTTTTTTTTGTTAATGCTAACGAGATCAGCAGTATCGTGAATGGATAATAAAGACCGCGAAATTGCTGTACAAGGACATTTCTATACCGAACTTTCGTAACAGATACATCGGGATGTTATGAAATTCTTTCGGGTGGTGTGAATAGAATGAATGGGAACTGTTTGTTAGCGCTGTTTATCTTCTTATCTTAGCCTAATGTAATAATTTGACAGAGAGATAAGAAATACGATTTTTATGATCGTACAAATTACATCAATTGAAATGTTCATTTTTATTCTTATAAATATCCTCGCATCATTCGATATATTTTCAATAATTACTGCTTTGAACATAATGCTTGGACGTAATAAACACGTGCTCGACCATGCATAGTTTCACTATTTCAAGTTCCACTTATAAGAAACGTCAACGTTACGCGTGAGATCAAGTCGAGTGAATATTTCTCCTATTGCTCATTGTGCTCCCGGTGCCTCGTGATGACGGTCGATAGTTTCGAGTGGTCGTATAAGGAGGATATTTTTTCTTACTTTTTCATGCATGCGTTATATAAAAGAACGGAATATGTAATAGATTCTAAAAAGAAGAAAAAAAAAAAAAAGAAGAAAAGAAACAAGCTCTAAAGTGTGGAAATGAATCGACAAAATGTAAATATAATTAGCATTTCGTATCGTTCCATTTAATTTCCCTCTGACCGATGCGCTGATATTTTCACATTGGTTGAACAATTACACGCGAAAAGTAACTAGTTACATTCGTTTTTTAAACTCACTTTTTTATCCTATCCATCTTATTTATTTTCAAACAATATTCATTTTAATCTCAAAATCGTTGTAAAAAAAAAAAAAAAAATCTCTATCTAAGAAGTGCAACATCTTATAACTTATACAGAACAATACGATTAGATCTTATCAATTACATAAATCAAACTTGTATTACTTATAAAATTACTTAATAAAATTCCAATTAAATGTTTCTCTCGAGTATCCCATTGAATCCCGTAGATTTCTGCCAAAACGATTGTGCAAACATTCTTTCGATAGGCATCAAGAAAGAACTCAAAAGAGTGGCTCGAAGAAATTTATTCAAAGAAATGGACGTGCGGCGAAAGAGGGAGAGGAGGGAAGGGTAAGAAGAGGAAGATAAAGGAAGGAAAAGAAAGAAAGACGGCGAGGAGAGATGCGGGAAAACGTAAAGATAGACGGAGAGAGAGGAGAGAGAGTGGAACGTGGCAAGACAGAGGGAAAAGGGGCTCGTAGGTAATATACACACAGTCGATGTTGGGAACGCGTAGCCTAGTGCCTGTGAGGAATGCGTAAACGGTAGAACCGTTTTGTGAACGAAGATGGAGAGAGAGAGAGCGGCTTAACTGCGCTCGAGAGATAGGGAACCGATAAAAAAAATAATATCGAACCGTTTCATCGGTTAAACGATTTTTGATAAAAATCGCGAATATATCCTCGTTACTTTCCTAACGTTCCTTTCATTCCATTTCCATCACATCAGCCACGCTACGATTCATTTCTAATTATTCGCGTGAAGAAATTTGCCCGCGAATTTTTTCCACTGCAAATTCTTTTTTCTCCGCTTACACGTAACGCGTTGCGTAATCTTCTCACGATTTTCCATTATTTCTTCGAATTGCTCGAATTATATTCGGGTTCGAATATAATCGTTGTTGGCAGGCGTTTCGAGCGCTTCCGTTCTCGTCATGGACCTATCGACAATT